TGCGAGCTTATGGCGCCTGTATTTATGTTCGTGTTTCGACTGCGAATGGTTGGAAAGTGTCACTTTTGACCTCAAAATACAAAGTAGCTCCACTCAAGACGAAAACTTTGCCTCGTCTTGAGCTGTGCAGCTCACCTTCTCGCAGATCTTTTTCGTCAAGTCCGCATGGTCAGTTTTCGTTTCGAACAGGGTTTCTCAAATCCAAGAGTGGTCCGAGAATGCAACGTGGCGACATGTCCCAACGAAATCCAACCCAGCAGACATCGTGTCCAGAGGATGTAATGTAGACGAGTTGCATAGCCCCATTTGGTTTACAGGGCCAGCCTTCCTCATGGAATCGGAAGAAAATTGGCCTGTGAATGCTCACTTCGAGCCGCCTAAAAATTCAGCTGCCCTGGAAATTCGTAAGTCTGCTGTAGTTTTACTCGCAGATCGGCAAGCCAATTACATTCTCGAAGTTATCGAAAGCTACTCGTCACATTCAAAATTTCTGAGAGTGTTCGTTTGGGTTTTTCGATTTATACAAAGGTGCAGAAAGGTCTCGAAGCCCTTTGATCCTATAGCCAAGCCAAGAGAACTCAACTCATTCAGGACAATGAGTTCGGTGACGAAATCGACAAGGTTCGAAAAAAGAGAACTCTTAACGCTAACTTACAGCGTCTGAGTCCATTTCTACATGAGTTTAGAGAAGACGGTTTCTTGTTTTCCTTGCTGAGAGTGGGGGGAAGATTATTAAATGCTTCTATCCCGTACGAAGCCAAGTTTCCGTTGTTGCTTTCTAAAAAGTCGCATATCCCTATGGTGGGAAAAGGGGGGGGGGAATAAAAAAAATAAAACAAACTCGTATAGAATACACACATAACGCATCTTTGTGCAAAATTTTGTGTCTCTATCTCTTATAGTCTCTGACATCCAGGTGTTCATACGGACGGACAGACAGACAGGGCTAGATCGACTCGTCTCGTCATGCTGATCAAGAATATATATACTTTGTGGGGTCTGCCACGCCTCCTTCTGCCTGTTACATTTTTCAGCTCCCGCAAACCTAATATACTTCTGTACATTTCATGTACAGAGTATAAATATTCAACACATGCATACATACATAACTGTTTATGTTCAATTTCAATATAATAAATTTACATCAGAATCGTGTACCTGCATGTTTATATGAGTGTATGTATGCAGCACAAAATTGAACCATAGCAGTAACAACAAGAACAGAGCATGGGCAGCGGTTTTATTTATGGCTATAACCTTCTTCAGAATTGACCTATCATGATGAAATACAGACACATAATCACAAATTGGTATATGCCAAATTTGAGTTCAAAATTTCAAGAATTACGGGAGTTACTATTTAATGGGGAGAGGGGGGAGAGAAAGAAATTCCAAAATACACATTTTCTGTGTATTCACATAAGGCATCTGGGACTAAAATTTGGTGTCCCTAAGCTTTATAGTCTCCGAGATATACTTGTAGGCGATAATACGAATGGAAAATCGCGAAAACCCCCATAGGGGGGAAGTGGGTGGGAAAATCAAAAAAATAAAACAAACTCGTATAGCGTGCACACATAAGGCATCTTTGTGCAAAATTTGGTGTCTCTAGTTCTGAGATCCAGGTGTTCATACGGACAGACAGACAGACAGGGTTAAATCGACTCGTCTCGTCATGCTGATCAAGAATATATATACTTTGTGTGGTCTGCCAAGCCTCCTTCTGCCTATTACATTTTCAGCTCCCGCAAACCTAATATACAAGTACTCTTGTACATTTTATGTACAGAGTATAATAAGAGCTGCGCGAAAACTGAACATATAGTAGATACGTTCAGGGAACGCAACAGAGAGAAGCAGCAAGGCGAGTAGTGCATTAACACGTGTAATGGATAAAATATGTCAGTATTGTCAAGCATTAAAGATCCGCAATGAAGCAACCAGTATGTGCGCAATCAGGAAAGTTGTACTGTCACCTCTTCTTACTCCACCGGAACCATTAAAATCCCTTCTTGCGGGATAATGTTAAACGTACAACTAAGGCCACTAGAACTTATTAATCTTTATTTTATTGGCATTAAGCAGAAGACATACATAATATATACATAGTATACAGTGCCACAGAAGTCTCTTCCGCTCAAGTTTCGCTTCAAAATCTCGGTTCCACAGAAATCTCATTTGGGATATAAACTTTATAGTTTTTATTTTTCTTAACAGTCTGCATCGAAAATATTTAGCATATCCTATGCAAATATTATTCAAATAGCAATTTACTACTACACACACCATTGGCCCAATTAGAACATTACATTACATTTTACGAACATCATAATTTGTTGAGTTAAGTCTAAAGTTGAGTCAAATGAAAGTTAAAAATGAAATATATAATTGACGCAATTCTTGTTTCAAATAAGTACCATATAACTAACCATATAATTTAAACAAACTTGGCGAAAATTGTGTGTCGTCAAAAATATGAATGGCAATAAACCGCCATTTAAAAATACAATCAATAAAACAATATGGAACTACATTTTTGTAATATCTCAATTCAATTTCAAATGCTAGTTTTCTGTAGGGGAAAACATAGATCGCCACAACAGGACGCAATTTTCGTCCAATTTATGGAAGCACATCCCAACATTGCGCAAAATCCCAAATTTCATAATAAAAGGATACAAATAAATTTAATTTTTAATAAGCAACAAGAGTGGAATTCTTTAGTGGGATCGAATGCGCTTCTCAAATTTTTGCATATTCTTGCTGGTTATTAATGCAAATGGCATATTTGTTTTTTATTTAACTTAGTACTTTACAGAATTTAAACACAATTAGTAAGTCTAATTTACTCGTTGACAGTCAGCTGAGTGCGTTACAGGATTTATATAGAATTAGTCAGTCAGATGTACTTAAAGAAATATTTTTTTACAAATTAACTTTTATATGAACGACAATATACTGTGACAAAATACCAATACCTAATTAAATCCAATTTCAAATTAACTTTTATACGACAATACACGTGTAACTACTGTGACAATTTCTGAGACCTTGAAACGACAAAAATACCGATACCTAATTGAACGAAACAAACTAATTTTAATTCGACACTATGCTGAGACATACGTGTAATGTAACCAACGGTGATGCGAAAATATTGCCAACATTAAACACAAAGAATTACCGTAAGAATGATAGATATAGATATACTTGTAGATAGATAGATGAAGATATAGAAAGAGAAAATAATCTGAAATAGTTAGTAATGAAGTAACTCGAATCGCTTGTTTCTCTTAAATGGCGCGGCGCGCGACCGCTGACACCGACTCAAAAACAAAAAGAATAAATGTAGTGCCGTACTTGGTACTTTTCTCTCGTTTTTAAAGTCGCAGATGTTATCACAGTATATTGTAGCATTAAAGTTTATTTGCAAATGGGTTTAATTAGGAATGGGTATTCTGTCACAGTATATTTTCGTTCATATAAAAGTTAATTTGTAAAAAAATATTTAAGTATTCTCACATTATTATTACAGGGTATATTGTAGTGTTTCGTTGGCTGACACCGACTCCCAAAAAAACAATAATTGTACCTTCATAATATATTGATTATTAAGTTGTAGAAGAACACTCAATTATTTTTTACTTTTTAGTGCCTGTTAATTTGTTTGGAAAAAAATGTTTTTTATTAAATTAAAAAAAACATACATTTAATACATATAAAATAATATCATAAGCTAGTATATAGAAGATGAAATATTTCGATAAAAAAAAGTAAAACAAGGTAGGAATGCTAAGTCGAGCTAGCTCAACTTTTAATCCTCTGTACCTCCCAAAAAAAAAAAATTTAATTCGTTTTAAAAAATTATATTAAATAAATACAAATAATTTAATACATATATACAAAAGTGGAGACATGTTCATGTTCAGTTTCAACTACATACATTTACATCAGAATCGTGTCTCGTGTGTGTTTATATGCGTGTATGCATCACAAAGCAGCAAGAACAACAACAGCTGCGTGCAGGGCTGCAGGCAGTACATGGGCAGCGATTTTATTTATGGCTATAACTTTCTTCAGAATTGACCCATCATGATGAAACTTGACATACGGACACATAAGCAATAACTGCATATAACTAGCAAAATTGATTTCGAAATTCCAAGGATTACGGAAAATGCGGAAATGCGGGGGAATGGGGAGTGTATCAGAATAAAAAAAAAAAAACAATTTGGCTTAAGGGCACTTGGGGGGGGAGGGGTCTGGCACGCCTCCTTTTGCCTGTTACATACATTCGCACAAAACTAGTATAGCCTTTCACCAAATGGGTGATTTTGGCTACATTTGTTTTTGAAATCTCGAAAAAAAACCGTCGGTGCCACAGAACTTTGAAAGATTTCATTTCCCTCCAAGCCCGCTGTGAGCTACAGCTGACTGATGATGACATGGACAGAGTGGCCAGCGCACGAAACAAAATCTGTTAGTTCCGTATTTTCATATGTATTTTTCTTTTCGTGGTTCCATTTTTAGTAAATTGGGTACATGACTTGCCAAAAGAGATTTTTGCTGCACCGAGAATTAGTTTTGTTTTTTTTTATTTTTTATTTATTTTATAAATGTAAAACTTTAATTATACTGTTATTATTTACAATAACTTAAATTAAACTTATAGAATAGTACAAACACAGTTTAAACTAGGAGTCTTAGTCTTATTTATGCAAAATATTTTTGATGCAGATTGTGCAAAAAAAAAAAGGTGTATATTCCAATGATTGAAGAAATATATCTTTGTTAATGTTTTTTTTTATCAAAACTCGTGGTAAAACATCCAAGATTCCAAAAAGCACCGAGAATTGGTTTTGTGCCGAAATTTGGGCGAAAGAGATTTCTGTCCCCCCCCTTAATGAGTACATTGCTTTCATTGACTGCCGGACTGCAGTTTTAATAATTGATGTACGATACACTTTGTATGTCAACATATACAGAATGAATTGAAAAAAAAATCGATGAGTTTTAATCGATAAGCTGAGTTTCTGTCTGGAAGTGTGAGAATATTCTGGTGCGGGCTTTGTTTGTGCCGGTGTCGCTGAATTAAAGTAAGACGCAGCATTGGCTACGGTGAGTGTCTATTATTATTACAATGAAGGGTAAAATCACCATAAGTAAGGATTACTTTGGGTAGGCACTTTGCCCATATTCTACAAATATTCAGCAAAAACATAACTAAGATGGGCCGCAGCCGAAGTCCTGTGTCACCGGCCCACAGAAGACGCGAAAAAGAACGCACTGAGCGAAAAAAGCGGCGTGAGCGGCGTTCACGTGAACGAGAAGCAGTTGGAGCCACTAGTACTAGCCGGCGTGATCGTGAGCGAGATAGAAGCCGCAGCAGGGAAAGAGATCGCTTGCGAGGTCGGCGTACCAGGTGAATAACAAAGTGTAGTGTACCGAACCCAATCTACATCTATAAGTATAACTTATTTATCTTAAATTACTTAAAATCTGAAGTGGTAGAAAAGCACTAACTTAACTTAAAACATAATATATACTCATTTTCAATATACATTTTGTGAAATTTGAAAAGTTCCACATAAATCTTCGCATTTTATAAATATTTGTGTCAATTGATACGAATCCATAGCTACATATTCATACATACATATATACATTTTGTTATGAAGTCTGATCAATTCGAATAATCTTTGACAACACTAGTTCAACCCTGTTTTTTTCCAACACTTTTGCTATCGTAAACGACATCCCAGAGTTATTTTTCTGGTTCTAGTTCATTTTGTTCTTTTCAACCTAACAATAACCACGTGAAGGCGGATCTGCTACATATGTAACGTCAAATTATTTTTCAATAAAAATAGTTTAGCAATAACAAAACACAACAATCTAGTAGAGAAAACACACAACAATGGCGCTACGAATACAGTTTGAAAATAATGATGATATTGGCGTCTTTACAAAGCTGACAAATACATATTGCCTTGTTGCTATTGGTGGCTCGGAAACATTTTATAGCGCCTATGAAGCTGAGCTGACTGAGACCATTCCGGTGGTTCATGCCAACATAGGTGGTTGCCGTATAATAGGACGTCTCACTGTGGGAAACCGCAATGGACTACTAGTGCCCAATTCTACTACGGACGAAGAGCTGCAGCATTTGCGTAATAGTTTGCCGGATAAAATAAAAATACAACGTGTCGAGGAGCGCCTGTCGGCACTAGGAAATGTAATTGCCTGTAACGACTATGTAGCCCTCGTTCATCCTGATTTAGATAAGGAAACAGAGGAGATTATCGGCGATGTCCTTAACGTCGAAGTGTTCCGTCAAACTGTAGCCGATAACACTCTCGTGGGTTCCTATACAGTACTTAGCAACCAAGGTGGGATGGTTCATCCAAAGACTTCTATTCAGGATCAAGATGAACTGTCATCACTTCTACAAGTTCCGCTGGTGGCGGGCACTGTTAATCGTGGCAGCGAGGTTCTTGCTGCCGGAATGGTGGTCAATGATTGGATATCATTCGTAGGAATGAATACAACAGCTACTGAAATATCTGTTATTGAGAGCGTATTTAAGTTAAATCAAGCACAGCCTTCAACGGTGGCAACAAAATTACGTGCAACGCTCATTGAGGACATGTCATAAGATAGATTGACAATAAAAAATTCTAGCGTAGCTTATTGTACGAATTTTTAACGCATTCTAAATTAGAAATTACTGAAATATATGGAAGTAGTACATACAAATGTACTTTTGTTTAAATATTTTGTACGCTATTGTGAGAGTTGATTTCTGATTTTACCGGAAATAGTTTCACTTATCAAGAATTAAACTTGCTTCACATAAATAAAATTATTTTTGATTTTATGAATGGTAGATTCTTATTCACTCTCCATTTACGTATCCAACCTAATTCTTTTAATACATGCAGCAGATCCCATTCGCGTGGACGAGCTACTAGCGCCAGCAGCTCTGGACCATCAACTTCGCGACGATCTACCCGCAAAAACACAGGTGCTACTACAGAGCGTCCAAAAATCAATGAAGCAGAATTGAAGGGAAAATCGCCAGAAGAAGTTGAAATGCTCAAAACAATGGGCTTCTGTACTTTCGACAGCACTAAAAACAAGAAAGTCGAGGGAAACGATGTTGGAGAAGTTCATGTAATTTTAAAGCGCAAGTACCGGCAGTACATGAATCGCAAGGGTGGCTTTAATCGACCTCTTGATTTTGTAGCATAATACAAGATTTGTATTATTATATTATACATTTTCGAGGTCTTAGTAGGCGCATAATACGCGGCTGTATTGTCGCAAACCTGCAATTTTATGCAATAGACCGGTTTACAAAATTTGTATATTTGACAAACAAATTTCCACCTCAAGCACAATACCTCATATAATTATAAAGTACTTTAAGAATACGCGTTATTAACATGAAAGTAGCACGCTTGCCTTCAAATGCATAAGAACCTATGAATATTGTTTTTTATACATTTAAAGTAAGTTAAATTTATTCGGAAGCTCATTCATTAATTTGAAGTCAAACAAATCATTTAAATTACGTTTTTTTTAAATTAACATAAAAAGTCCTACACATTTATATTACCTTACCAATATCCTCCATACGCTGCAATAGTACAACTTTTTACAACCACACAAATATATATAAAATATATATTTTTTATAGAGAAAATTATTTTTACACACCATGTACCTAACACCCCCTTATAATCCTTACCAAAAATGCAAGGACAATAGCCATAGCAATGTTAAAATGTTATTTGTTTTGTCAACGTGTATTTTTTTTAGAATACACGAACAGGTTATTCAATAATATAACACGCACGTGCCAGAAGTAAAAATTAATTTAAACATCATTCGTAATCTTTTGTACTTTAAAACAATATACAATGTACTTCGGCTGATATAGAATAAACAATTACAAATTTGGCCTTCTATATACATAAATTTTTAAACGTAAATTAACTTGATTTTTAATTTCATTATAGTTTTCTAAGTTTGGTAAATTGCAGGGAAGTTTTAAAATGATACTAATGATACTATGTATGTATTTCTTAATGAAGGTTCTAATAAAAAATGCAGTTGCTGTCTTTAACAGTGTTTGTTTTATTCTAATACCCTGTACACTCAAAGGCTTAAATATTTTAATCATTGGTGCTAATGTCATACATATACAGTGAGTCACAGCTTTTTTCGTGCCGACAGAGCATTTACTTTGAAATGTCATTACACGCAAAATATGAACCACTAGCAGGTATTGCATTTAAGGTATTTAAATGAACCTTTACTGTTCTTGACAAAAATTTGTTCAGTACATTTCCGTTACATTTTTGTTCTTGCCAAAATATTTCGTTAAACCCACATGACCACTACTAGCACGTCTTGCCCGTCTTTGCTGGCTCAGTATTTGTGATTACAATTATACGTTTATTTACTATATGCTATTTCTCTTCTGACATTCTCTAAAGTTTCTAAAGAGTTTATTTCCCAAACAGCAAATTAATTTGGTACGATGCGAGAGCTAGGACAAATATTATGTATGGTTATACATATGTATATCTCTATATATATAAAACAGTTTTCCTGACTGACTGATTGGTGATCAACGTACAGCCCAAACGGTAAAATCTAGGAAGCTGAAATTTGGACTCAAGTACCCTTTCATAGTGTAGGTGCCCACTAAGAAGGGATTTTGGAAAATTCGAACTCTAAAGGGGGGAAATCAAGCTCCAAAGTTTGTATGAAAAATCTACAATTTTCATGTGATTAACTTCAAATTTATTTTGTATACTCTCAGAAATTCCAAGAAAAACTGTATACTTGGTTTTTTAAACTTTTTTTGGGGGCTGAAATATGGGAGTTTTCCTGTAAAAAAAAATGGGCTACAAAAGGAAACCGCGTCAACAGCCCACAGCCCAAACGGCAAGAGCTATGAATCTGAAATTTGGGCTCAAGGATCCTATCATAGTGAAGGCGCTCACTAAGAAGGGATTTTGGAAAATTCAAGCTCCAAAGGGGGGAATACGACCTCCAAAGTTTATTTGAAAATTCTGCATTTCTGCATCAACTTTAAATTTGATTTTTATAATCTAAAAAATAATACAAACAAAACTGCATGCTCGGATTTTCGAAATTTGTGGTGGAGCTTGCATTATTGGGATTTTAATTTAAATAAAAAGTTTGTGTTATACATTTTTTCCGATCGATTTCAAATTTGGGGACTGTATTCTACAAGTACGTAACTAAATCTACAACTTTGCGTTTCAAAATATGCATTTTACAAATGCAGGCAGAACAAACAATACGAAATATCAAACAGTTGAGGACAACTAAGTATACATACACACACAACCACACATACAAGCAGCTGTTAGTGTAGTTGCGGGCAAATGATTGAAATAGCCAAAGCAAAATGTGAGACACTAATGTGTGAATGTACACACAGCCATACATATGTACACATCTATGTACACATATGTATATCTATGTTCATTCGTCTTGCACTGACAGAGCAAGAAATGTTAATTAATTAAAAATTATTTAATAATTTTAAAATAAATTTGTTCTTTGTTCAGTACATTTGGCATTAGGGTTTTCATTAGTAACTTTATGCAGCAACAACAAATTACAAAGAACGCAAATATCAAATAGTTGGGGACATCATATACACACACTCACACACAGAACAAGCAACAGTTCGTGTCTATGTGTAAGGTTCTCTACGCACGGTTGAAAAAGCAAAGAGAAACATGCATGCATATGTACATTAGACAACTGCATGGCTTCATTCATAAGGTACGATGAAAAGAATGGAATCGAATTGAATTGAGTTGAGTAAGTGGAACATTGAAAATGAATTTGTATGAATATGAATGCGTATTGTGTCTCATAGCATACGACATTCATTGAAATGAGTTAGAATAAATGAAACGTAAAACGGAATGAATCCAAAGCCTTTGGATATGCCATGACCAGTGATATATGGACAGATAATTATTTAAAAGCGTCGTATTTGTCATAAACAATTCATTATATGAAGGAGGGAGTTCATCTGTTGCACAAAACAAGCTGCAAAATATATTGCATTCCAGCGAGTAGCGCGGCTTCGGAACGCACAACGCTAGAAATTTAGTAACAGAAAAGCGTTGTTTATTCTATTCCACCAATCCTGATAAAATTAACCAGATAATGTTTTAAATTCTAATATAAAACATGTAAAAAAGCTAAAGTCGCGTATCCCGACATTGAAATACTCTGTACATATGTGTAGAATAATTATGCGTGTATTTGAGATGAGAAGTGTCAGTGCTTTGTGCTTTTAAAAAATATTAGTTATAGTGGTCATGTTCGTTTAACGAAATAGTTTGTCAAGAACAAAAATGAAACGGACTACTGAACAATTTTTTGTCAAGAACAGAAAATGTTCATTTAAATACCTTAAATGCCTTCCTACTGGTAATTTATAAGGTGAAAGCATATGGGTAGGTTATGCACACACAAAATAAATACAATTGGAAACATTATATTGAGCCGGGTTAAGACGGGCAATACCTGCTAGTGTATGTATATAGGCGGATAAAGCCTGCATGAAAAATTTAAATGTATGTACATATCAGCGTTGCCGAACGCTCCAATTTTGGCGGGACGTCCCGATTTATAAATCAAAATTAAATATCTCGCGTCGGACTTTTCGGGGATAACTCGACCGTGCGTACAACTTGCTGAGGAAGCACAAAGTTAAGTCAGGACTGGCAGTCCGCCCGGTGCGTAACGAAGATATACATATGTACATATGTATGTACGAACGGCTGCTTTGATGTTGTGGGTTGAAAGCAGTGCGCAGTGCTTGGCGCTTTTCACCGTGCTCACTCATCCGCTGGGCTGGACGCCCTGCACCTTGGGTAGGTTCACACCGTTAAAAATACGCATCAGTTGGGTTGTGGTCGTAATTCCTTGAAGATTTGCTTGCATCCGCAGTTGTTCACTCGATATACCAGCAATGACATGCTCAATCATTTCGTCTTCATCGATCTGGAAGCCTTTGGAAAGTTAATCCTTGCTGCTCAAGGAGCTGTTGAAACTCTCGGTTGGTAGCCACTCCCGTTGCGAGGTAAAGCAGTTTTGCTTTCTTTTACGCCAAACGAGTCTCTTACATTTTGCAGAAGTTGGTCCACCGAAACATTAGTGTAACCAATCGTATGTTCTTTCTTTTAACTTATAAAGCGTAGCAGTCCATCGTCGAGTTTGAAAATTGTTGTGACATTATTGACTTGCTTAATCCAAACATCTGGTGCTTCGTTCCCATCGTACTCCTTCACTGCATGGGCTAGTACGTTGAACATGAGCAAATTTGCTATCGGCGTTTTCGCCTTGTCGATTTTTCAATGCTTCATTTTCTCTTTCTAGAAGCTCAATTTTTGTTACAGAGCTGCAACGGCTGTTATGTTGTCAGCTTGGCCGTTGGCGTTTGTCGTGGAATGTTCGCGATCATACGATCTCTGATACACACAGCCCAACGTCAACGTCTCTTTCGCACCTGTTTGGGTTTTCGTGCGAATCGTGAACAGTTGACACCGATTCGGCAGCGTTCTTTCGTAACAGGCGCAACGGCCTTTGACTCATTTCTTCGCTATTGCTTATAGACACTGAATCTGGACGACCTTGAACAATTGAATGTAAATCTGGGAACAATACTCGCAGTTGCAACGAAACTTCATTTGTGCGAAGTGCTAACTCCGCTTTTGTGCCGCTAGTTTTAAGTTTTAGAGCGCGAGCCCAGTTACGCAATTGCTCAGCGCTGTAATCGCTTATCGAAATATTATTCATATATAGACTTTATTGTTAGTTTTCATTAAATAAATTCGCACTTTTTGGATAGAAGTTTTATAGGTTTTAATGAGTTTTATCCCACTTCTGAAATGGTGGTGGGATTTTCACCACAAGTAAAACACACGTCTGTTTTGTTTGCTAATCTTTTTATAGCCTGTACCCAAAGGGTAAAAGGCTATACTAGGAGCCGTGGCAGACCCCACAAAGTATAACTATTCTTGATCAGGATGACAAGGCGAGTCGATATAGCCATGTCCGTCTGTCCGTCTGTCTGTATGAGCGCAAGGATCTCAGGAAGTACAAGAGCTAGAATAACCAAACTTGGTATCGAGGCCCCCCTAAGTCCTAGGCAGGTCAAGTTTATTTTTTTTATTCTGATACACCCCCCACTCCCCTGCAATTCGTGTTTTTTTCCATGACTTCCGTGATTCTTGGAATTTCGAATTTGGTAACCACATCCAGTTAGAGATAATGTGACCGTGTGCCAAGTTTCATCATGATAGGTCAAGTCTGAAGAAAGTTATAGCCATAAATAAAATCGCTGCTCATGCGCTGCCTGCAGCTCTGTAAATGTATGCTGTTAAAACTGAACATAAACATGTCTTCTAATTTAATTAAATTAATAAATAAATTAATTAATTATTTAATTTAAAAAAAAAATTTTTTTTTTTAATTTCTTTTTTTTGTGGAGATTACAGGCTATTTTACTGTCGGGCTTGCTCGACTGTAGCGTTCTCTCTTGTTTTTTACGTATATATACAAGAGTATATTAGGTTTGCGGGAGCTGAAAGTGTAACAGGCAAAAGGAGGCGTGGCAGACCCCACAAAGTATATATATTCGTGATCAGGGTAACAAGCTGAGTCGATATAGCCATGTCCGTCTGTCCGTCTGTATGATCGCTAGGATCTCAGAAGGTACAAGAGCTAGAATGACCAAACTTGGTATCCAGGTTCCCCTGAGCCCTAGGCAGGTCAAGTTTGTTTTTTTTTTTTTAATACACCCCCACCACCACTCCCCCGAAATTCGTGTTTTTTTATAACATCCATAATTCTTGGAATTTTGAAATCAATTTTGATAGTTACATCCAGTTAGTGCTTATGTATCCGTATGCCAAATGATGATATAAATGTATGCTGTTAAAACTGTACATAAACATGTCTTTTATGTATGTATTAAATTAATTTTCTTTATTAATTTAATTAATGAAATTAATTTATTTTTTTATAATTTTTTTTTTTTTAAATATTTTACTGTCGGTCTTGCTC